TTAGCGTGATACACTTGAAACATTTCATCTTGCCAGTTCCCGCATGTGCATTCTCGAGCTGAAAGAGCAACAAGTTATCAAGCGTGAATATGCCCGTGTTGATTTTGAGGACCAAGGTGTTGAACAGAGTAGGCACCTTCCATGAGAGGAGTAAACCTACACATTCCGGCAGCTGTAGCTCTATCCATGCGTTGTCGCTGAAAAACCGGAACTAAATCTGACTCCTGTTTTTATCGTAGCCAATTTGCCGCTATTTGACGTTTCTCAGATGTAAGCTCGCTCAGCTTCTTGCAGTACATGTGAAACCCATTGAGAGGCAGATGTGCGTACTTAAACAGTATACTGGATTTCACGTGGCACGACTTACCGGGGCTGTACCGTAGTATCGGTGTCAAGTGTCACCTCCTATATTGACCAATCACAGCCGTGAATTGGACCTTGGCCAAGTAGAATTTGCAGTGTTTTGTCAAGTGCCCCCCTTGAAGCCAGTGCGGCATAACTGGAACTACCGCAGAGCAGCGAAGAGACTAAGGACCAAAATGCGGGTGCCGTGGCAACGAGGCGGGCGGAAGCAGAAGCAGTTTAAGCTGATGTCGGAGACCTTTGCATTCAAAGCTGCCGCACTTCACCTGTTTGAAACGCGCACCATGCGCGTCGTGATTCGGTCCTTGTGACCTGCAATTTTTGCAGCATTGTTTTTGGTGAACAGAGCTCAGCTAGTGATGCTGATGTGGGACGACTTCAATGCGCATTGGACGCCTGAAGTCGTTGCATTTGCTCTTGAGAATAATGTCGTTCTGCAACGCATTCCCCCTGGATATACGTACTGCTGTCAACCAGCAGACATAGCATGGAATAAGCCCCTAAAGGACCGGATTGGAGCGTAGAAGAGCTGACTACCGCTTTAAAGGCTTTATCGTGGCTAGCCGACTGTGTAGGAAATGTTTTCTGGCACGACGACGTCGTAGATAGATACATTTACAGAGATTGGAGCTAGCTACAACAACACAGTTCTTGATTCAACCATAATTAGCACCTTGAGCTTATCCTGATCATTAGATTTGTCGGTACGAGAGAGGGGGACACTTGCCACTGATATTACGGTACTGTTTTTCAAATCCAAATCTGAATTAACTCGCCGATTTTCAGAATCCAGTACACTACCGAATTCCTCGATGAGTTGCCCCCCCGTGGTACATCAGCAAAGGGGGCCAACTCATCGATGAAGACCCTTCAGACACACATGCATATCATTGGTTAAAACTGCACGGATCTTCTGGCGGGCGCTCGCCGCCGGCCATTGCAAGTTTCGATGGTTCGCGCACGCATAACGACTGGGCAGTAAGAAAAATGGATACTCTAGGAGGCAAGGAAAAAGGTTCCCGTACCTGACCGAGCAGACATCATATCGTGGCTTGTCAACTCGTGGGAATCGATTTCAAGTGAGTCAATTGTGAAAACGTTTGCTTCAATTGGTTAGGGAGTACAACAGGGCTCAATCAAGACGACCAGCAAGGGCAAAGTGTACCTGGCGAAGAAGGAGAAGACGAAGAGATAGATTTATCAGATTTAGTGCTGCATGTTAGGCTCTAAAATGCTCTTCCACGTCCGTTAGCATCAAACAACGAACAATCCCCTTGTTGCGCTCAGATCGACGGCGTCTCTGGCTGTTATCAGACTTTCGTAGGTCCTCGACGACTGTAGTCATTTTGTTTTCGTATGCAGCGCTCAATCGTAGTAGCCGGCGGGGTAAATACCCTACATGACATGCTTGCGATCCCGAACGAATGACGTACGCTTCAGCACATACTAAATTTGCCATAAAGATTCTTACCATGCTCTTCCTACCAGTGTCGGCTGCAAGTCTGTGATTGGACGTTAATCGGGTGGGGGGGGGGCCAGCTCATCGAGGAAGTCTCTTCAAACGTTGCCCATCATTTAGTATAGGAAACCCGGGTGGGGGGGGCCAACTCTTCGGTGAAATTTGAGGGGGCCAACTCATCGAGGAATTCGGTAGTACTGGATTATGGAAATTCCTCGTTCTTTGTCTGCCAGCTCAGCTGCAGCACAAACGAAGGCATCACACGCCCCCGAAATATCAGCTGATATCAAATGCGGCATCCTTTTCGCAACGCTGGGGTCGAGCAGCGATATATACGTTAGCTCACTTTTGTGTAGTTCTCCAAACCGATTGTTAAAGAGATTCAGCATAATCGCTCGACATTCATTCATCATGAACACTGTTTCGTCCACATAACTCTCATCCCCAGCAGTGAGCTTGCGTGAAAATGACTTGGAGCGGTAGCAACAAGTGTCCCATCCGAGAGCGTTTTCAGAACTAGTGGAAATTTCGTGACGGTGAAACGTAGCCCTTTGACACCCGCAATGATTCGTGATCTAGTATTTGTGTCTAAAACCTGGCGTAAGTACTTCGACACCTGCTGAATTGTGACGCGTTGGCTAGAATCTAGAATGTGTCCGTCAATATCATAGCTAACAATCTCTTCAACATAAAGAGCGCTCGTTTCCTCCATTCATTACTTACAATACCGATGCAAAATGTTATGACATCCTTCTGCAAACCAAT